CAATACACAAAGACCAGATAATTTTTCACAAACAAAGCCATTTTCGTTTTTAATACACTGCCGCTTTGCAGTGCAAAGGCCGGACTTGGGATGGGTGTTTGCTGGTGGGAGAGTGTCCCATCCTCCCCGTGACCCCGTGTTACATTTCTGGGAGCCGATTCGGCCCTTCTTCGCCAGAAAGGCTCTTCCATGGGATTCAAGGTCCCGCAGCTGTTTGCAGAGCTTTTGGGCTCTTTCAGAAAGAGCAGATTTCTTTGATACCGTTTTCCTGTGATGACCTCTTTGGTGGCACTTCCTTAAAAACAGCACTTGCCACCACAAGAGACTTCCTTTCCCACCACTGCTGCGGGCTGGGGTGCTCCAAACCCCAGGCAAACCCTGGCCATTGAATCTGGAGCAAAACCAAACTGCAGCTGGTTTAAGCTGAGTGGGGCAAAAAGTAACAGAGGGAAGATTTATTTTTCTTTGAAGATTACTCTTGAATGAACTTTGAAGATTACTCTTGAATTACTCGCATTCATTGACAATTCATCTTGAGCCATGAAAGCAGAGAGGCTCCTTGGTTGCTCTGATATCTGCCTGGGAGGTTTTCTTTTTCCCCATTTCTTTGTGTATATCTCACTGCTTGAACCAGTAGCTCAGGCTAGTGGCAAAGATGGAAAAAGCGCGTGGAGGCTGGAGCAAGGTGCTCCCTGGCCCAGGCTGTCCAGGGAAGGTGTCTTGGGGTGCAGCGCAGGGGTAAGCAATGTCCTTCTGCGTCTGCTGTCTCATAACCCCGCTGCAACTTGCAGGCTGTGCAATGGAAAGATCCTGATAGCTGAAAGTCACCCGCACCTTTGGGAAAGCCCAGCTCTGCATACACAGGCTGTACAAAACTCTGGTTTCACGTTTCTGCTTCATTCCCAGCCTTTATCCAGTGGATAATTCCTGGTCTGTGTGCCCTTTCGGGGCTGTGGCCAGGTCAGCGGGAACGTGGCCAAAGATAAGGGTAAACATCAGTGTGCTGGAGAAGGGGCTGTGCAACAGCAGCTCCTCCTTCACTGCCTCGCTGCTGCTGCAGACTGGTGAGAGAGCACTGAGTTGGCCCAGCAGCACGCTGAGGGGGTCCAGGGCCACAATGTCCCCGAGCTGTCACTGCCGTGCAGATGCCCTGGCTTTGGGTTTTTTCTGTGTCTCGGGACTCAGTGTATGGTGGTTTTGCACGTTTGGGCTGTACCCCTGCCATGTTTGCTGGGGTGCTTGCAGACCCTCTGCTCGCCTCTCCTGCCCTGAGCGAAGCTGTGGCTGCCCCAGGGACAGCAGAGCCCGTCGGGGTGACACAGCTCAGCCTTGCCCCCTTTGCTGGTGCTGGGACCAAGACATCAGCATTTAGTGAGCAGGGACTGATCTTCCTCCTTCGCTGTTCATCCAGCCTGGGTTGTTCCCTGCTCCAGCACCGAGGAGCTGCATTGCTGCCAGCTGCAAACCCCAGTGCTGGTCCCAGCCCGTTCTCTGCATCCTCCTCCTCGGTCACACTGCAATTGCCATGTCAGGCAGTGCACAAACTCATTTTCCTGCTGCCGGTGACCTCGGGGTAGACCTGGCCATGCACTCCGGTGGAGAAGGGTGTGCAGGAGCCTGCAGCTGAGGCACTGCTTGGCCACAGGGCAGTGCTGCCCCTGGCCACACAGGGCGGGGAGGACATCAGTCCTCCTGCAGCATCAGGCTTGGCACTTTTTGTTGATGATCATTTCAATCCATCCAGCATGGATACCCAGGCTCTGATGATTTTTAAAAAGTCAAACTAGGATTGCGAGGGAGCAGGAGCTCACCTTCTGGGGTTAAGAGGCATGAGTCCTGCCCATAGCAGAAGATGAGGGCAGGTTTTGCCAGAGGCCAGAGGGCATGTGGGGCTGGTCGCTGTAATCACAGCGGCTTGCTTTATCGCTCCGGGTTGTGATGGCATGAGGCCTGGTGAAGAGCTGCCCTCATCTGCCAATATCAGCCTCCCCTCGAGAGAGATCTGGACTAGATTTATGTGGGAAAGGCTTGCAGCAAGTCCATCCACAGCTGCCAAGGAGCCCAGGAGGTCCTGAGCAGGACATGGCTTGGTCCAGCTGGGAGCAAAGCACCAGATGGACTTCAAAGAGCAAACTCAAGTCTTGAGTTTTCTGGATCCAGTGACCAAAAGCTGCTCCCGCCTTTGTGGGAAACAGCAGCACAGGGCTGCTCCTCCTACATGAAACAGGCAGTTCCCTCCCAAAAAATCTCATTTCTGGAACAACCAGTGCTTGTTTTCTCGCTAATCACCAGCTTCTCTTGCTGTTTCGAGTTGGTTGGACAGCAGCACAGGTCAGCTGAAACAAACCAGATGTTTTAACCCATTTCCCAGCCCCTGATGGATCAGAGGCAGGTATGGGATGGCGGCAAACACTGACACGTACCACTGTATCCCTTCCTCCAAGCTGAATTTCCAGAAACATAACCCTTGGATGCTCAGTCTTTTAAGGACTGGTATGTTATTGTGGTTTCTTGACATGAAGTGGTGCTTTCTTCCCCAGAGTTACGCTCTTGCTAAGATCAGGTGGCGTCTCTGTGGACTCTGATCTCCAGGGTGAGGGTCGAGCCAACACCCTGCTTGCCCTGGGAAACTTAAAAGTCAGGTTTTTTTAAAGGCACCATTGTGCAGTCCATAAAGAGAGATAACAGCCATAATAAACATGACACCAAAGATCAGTTCCCACACCAGGAGTGTCTGAGGGTTGGGAGTCTGTTACTGGGATGTCCTAATGTGACCCCAGCACTAAAGTGCCGATGTCAAGGACAGACACGGCCTGGGGCATCAGGAAATCCCTGAGCAGCACCACCCGTCATCCCCTGGTGCTTCACTCCCCAGCCCGGCCCTTTGAGGCAGCTGACCCCGCAGCTGCACCTCTTCCCCCTGGCCCAGTGCTGGAGGGTTTGCTGCAGCAGGTCACAGGGAAGACAAAGCCAAACTGTTGCATTACCAAAGTGAAGTCCTGAAAAGCCCATTGGGGTGGGAAAAGAGACCACAGCCTCTGTGAGAGCCACCTCGGAGGGGGCTTTGGACGGACACAGGAACGGCCGTCTTGGCCACCACTGCTGGGAAAGATGGACCTGGAAAAGGCCAGCTATGAATATGCACACATAGCCAAAATGCTCCCTTTGAGGAAAGTCTTCCTCCCCTATTAAGTAATTAAATAAAGCCCCAAGCTCTACTAAAATTAAAATAACAGAATACATTTATTCTGGCAGGGCCCACTGGTGGCTGCTCTTGCCAAAAACATTTTTGTGGTTCTTGTCTTTTCAAGTGGCTCTTTTGCAATAAAACCCAGATGCCATTAGTCCAGGGAGGCCTCCAGGCAACTGTTTACATCCATGAAAGATGCCCTTTGTAATTAATTAATCTCCCAAAAGCTGTGGTAGCACATTCCCGTGGCTCCTGGCGTGTCCCTGCCCGCCGGCCCTGGCAGTGGAGGTGCACGCTCATTCCTGGGCTCTGAAGAAAGCTTTTGTGTGGCAGGCTCACCACGAGAAGGGTTAAACTCCTCCTTGGGAAGACACAGTGGAGATTTCCACACTTCTCAAAACACAAACAGAAGTCAGTGTGCCTTCCCACTGCCCTTGCCCTGCTGCCGCTTCAGCATCTCCCGCTCGTGCTCAACAGCAACGTGCAGTTGCAGGAGGTTGTGTTACAGGGGCAGGGGTCAGCAGGCAGCGGGGAAGGGGGGCACAGCCTGGTTCCTTCACCCTTTTGGGGTGCAGGTGCTTTCAGATGACTCAGTCGTCACAGGGCAACAACACCACGACATCTGAGAAATGCGGGCTTGGTGCACATGGAGGAAAAAAGGTGAATCGTGAGACTGCCCTGAGCAAAATAACAGCTGAGCCACTGCACTGGGGCAGAGCAAAGAGCCGTCCAGCCCAGTCCTTCTTCCAGATGGTGGCTGTATCAGGTATCTACAGAGGAGCACACAAAAGCTGTTGGTTTGTAGGGCTCCTTCTCCTGCTGTCTCCTCCCAGTGAGGGCAGCCAGGGCTAGGAGCTGCCTGTGGCTGAAGCAGCTCAGGGACTCTCACCTTTCATTACCACCAACTTGTTTCATCCACCATGAATTTGGCCCATCTGTTTCTGAACCATTTACACTTTGGGCCTCTGCAGCATCAGGTGATGGCAAATCCCACCGTAAAATTATGTGTTTGCCCAGCAAAGGCCATCCTCATGCTGGTTTTGAATGCATCCCCATCCCTAGCAGCAATTGCCTTTATGTCTCCACATCCTTCAGGATGCACAAGAGCTCTCCCATACCTCTTGGCTTGTTTATTCTCCAGCCTGAGTGTCACAAATTCATGGAGTTTCCCCCAACCAGAAACCCTCAGCAGAGACCAGCAAAAATTTGGCTTCTTTAGGACTATGTCTTTGCTCAGCTTCCCTGTAATGTGGTTGCAAATAGAATTGCTTTAGGAAGGGTCAGTCCTCACTACTTCATTTGTAACATAATGACTGAGCCTGGGGTTTGGTTGTTATTGGTGTTTTTAGCTGTTGTTGGCTTTTCATTGTTGCTTTTTTGATAGATGAGTTTAATTTTGCTGGCATATTGCACAGGTTTGCAAACCAGATGTTGCTGCTGCAAGACGGTAACAATAAGGCAGGGAGGGAGCCGTTCATCACGGCACACGGGTGTCACAACTGCAGCAAGGTCAAAGCCGAGGGGTCAGGGCATGGGGGGACGCGGGTCCCTGCTCCACGGGACCTGGGGCCGCAGTTGCCATGAGAACTGCTGGTGGCACAGCGGTGAACCTCACTGGCGCTGCAGCCACCTCCCATCCATCTCCCGTCCCCCCCGGGAAGGACCGGACTGTTGGAAGGAGACCAAGCTGCAGAGGAAAACTGCTGAGAGCCTGGAAGGAGGGATGGGTTTGTGTAACCAGACGATGATCGTGTGAATCACTGGGTTTGTGCAGATGCTGGCTCCTGTCCCAGGGGGGATACACGGGGTGATGCGAATGTGAGGGGATGGGATGTGGTGTGGCAGGAAACGGGGAGCAAGGAGAGGTGCTGGGAGCCCCCAGGAGCACACAAACAGCCGCTCATACGGCTCCTACACCCTTCTGGCTTGGCTTAACACAGGAGCTCAGGTTACCCAGTGGCCCTTTAGCAAATGATGCCCAGTCCCTGGCCCAGCAGGGCTTTGAATTCTCAAGGAGACCATGGAGCAGGATGGACCCTGGTCCGAGCCCCAAGCCCCTTCCCACTCCCGGCTGGGAGAGCTTCCCAAAGCAGCCTGCGTGTAGGGTTTCTTCGGGTGGAAGAAGGAAATTGCTGAGGTCAGGGGGCTGATATTGCACATTTTTATGTGACATCAGCTTGCTGCCACCTTGAAAATACCAGAAGATAGAGTCTTACATCCTGGACCTTGAAAATCCCTTGTGTCCTGCATGAAGGGAGTGTTGTTACTTGAGAAATTCACTGTTATTCCAGGGAATTTAAGCCAATGTGCAGGAAACACCAGTGTGGGCAGAAAGGAATTTAAAGGGATAGGACATGAGGATTGTAGAGATGTGCTCTGTTCTGGTAGTGCCATTGCAAGAAGGAGGCTGGGATCCCCCTCAAGAAACTCCTTAAGAGGCCTTGAATAGGCAAAATGGCTTTAGGTCTGATTCTAGGTAAATGGGCAGCCAAAGGAAATCAGGGGTGTGTTTAGGTGCTTTGCTGAATCAGAGCATTACGGGCCTCCTGACAATCCTTGCAAGGAAGAAAGCACCTGGGCCGGAGGGGTGAGGCTCAGGACATCCTGCTCTTGGTCCCTGGGACATCCCGAGCGGTGCCTGCGCTCAGCCCCCACACACCCCCCAACCCCTGCCCAGGGTCATTCAGCTCTTAACATGTCCCTCTCTCCCCCTCTCAGGGACCTCATGCCCAGGACACTGGAGGGGCAGATCACCATGGAGAAGACCCCCAGCTACTTTGTCACCAAGGAGGCCCCAGCCCGCATCTCCTCCATGTCCAAGGGCACAAAGCTCATCGTGGTGGTGCGGGACCCTGTGACCAGAGCCATCTCGGATTACACCCAGACGCTCTCCAAGAAGCCCGACATCCCCACCTTTGAGAGCCTGACCTTCAAAAACAGGACTACGGGCCTGATCGACACCTCGTGGAGCGCCATCCAGATTGGCATCTACGCCAAGCACCTGGAGAACTGGCTCCTCTACTTCCCCATCGGGCAGATCCTCTTTGTCAGCGGGGAGAGGCTGATCAGCGACCCCGCGGGGGAGCTGGGCAGGGTCCAGGACTTTCTGGGCCTCAAAAGGATCATCACCGACAAACACTTCTACTTCAACAAAACTAAGGGGTTCCCGTGCCTGAAGAAGGCGGAAGGCAGCAGCAAACCCCACTGCCTGGGGAAGACGAAAGGCAGGACCCACCCCGACATAGACCAGGAGGTGGTGCAGAGACTGCGGGACTTCTACCGGCCCTTCAACATGAAGTTCTACCAGATGACGGGGCAGGACTTTGGCTGGGACTGAGGCTGAAAAAAATAATTTAAGAAAAGGAAAATATAATATAATATATATTTTTTTTACATATCAGTAGAGAGGGGGAAAATGCAGAAAAAAATAATAGTTGTGCTGAAACATGATTTGTTCTGATTTTTTTCTTTTGACATTGCTTTGTTTTCTTTCTTCCCTCAGTGATGAGGTGATTTGTCCGTCCAGAAAAGGAGGCTGTGAACAGCAACCTGGTCCTATTGACATCACCTGCCGCTTGGCTGCTTCCTTCGATGGGCCCAGGGTTTAGCACTGTCTCTGTAAAAAAAAAAAAAAAATGCAGGTGCAAGGGTTTCAGATGTCCTGAAGTCCACCTTCAGAAATAACAAGGATGCTCAGAGGAGCTCAAAGCCTCACTGGAAGGTCAGCCAGATTTTGGCTTGCAAATGCCATTTTAGACCAGACCTCATCACTTTTGACAATGAAACAAAGGAGGCTTAGTATCTAATTGGCTTTCAAAACCTTTACCATAGGGGATTTTTTTATTGCATGAAACCTTTGGTGACATTTTTTTCATTCATCCAATTTTTTTATTTGACTTTTGCCCCCCCTAAATCAAGCTCTTTTCATCAACCAAACTTATTTTTCATCTTACAGAAGCCAAAACCAATAATCCTTTGTTTTGTTTTGAGACAAAACAATTTTGGTAGCCAAAAGTGAAAGAAAACAAATGATTCTTTTGACTCTATGACAGAAATTGCCGGGTAGTCAAAAGGCCTCATTCACAGGAATTGGCTCTAAACCAGTGCTCCCCATTGCCAACAATGTGTACCCCTTTTGCTACACTGACAGCAGAGTGCTTTTCCCAGGGGGGCCCATCTGAAGGCAAGGAAGGTCCACACTGAGATGATGCTTGTGGTACACCTGTCTTGAAGGTGATGGGGGACCCACCACCCCACCACTCTATGCAAGAAACAAGTTCACAGTGTCTGGTGGATGCTATTCAAGCCATAATGAGAATGTTTTAAGTTGGGCCAATCTTAAAAGAAAAAAAACAAACCCAAACCAAACAGTGGAGAAAGGGTTGTTTGGGAAATAATGAACAAAAATCACATCCAGAAAGGGGAGAGAATGAGGAGAAGATGATGGAAGTTTTCTTGTCCTTTACCAAAGGAGAACCGAGGGGGAAACAGGAAAAAAGAGCGTTGGTTGTGCAGGGCTTTAAAAACTGTCAGACAAAACAAATCTCCTGTTTGTAATAACCAGGAGCTTTAAATTCCTTGTTTTGATCCTTATCACTTTTTTTGGATAGTAGAAATGCCTCAGCAACAGAAATCTATTAGTGAAGCAGGATCTTGTATTACCGTGTGCTCATTTATCTGCTGGCTCTTTATCTTCAGCATTTTCTGGGCTGTAGAAGCACCTAATTATCACTTGGTGCTGTATAAACACAACACGATGGTGTTCCGTCTCCTGACTCTAACTTTAAAAAGCCCCTGATGGGGTAAAACAAAGTGGGGGATCACCTGGTAATCTGGTTAGGAAGAAGCCTGGGGACCAAGCTCGTTGGCTGCCTGCACATCAGCTAAGATCTTAATAGTTAATCATAGCAGAGCAGAGATTTCAAGGAGTCTGAAGAGAACTGTATCTGAAACTTCAGCTGAACCCAAGAGGGAGTCATTTCCACCTTGGGCTGTCTTGCTTGACAAGTTAGGAAAACAGCTTGGTGCCTGCTCAACCTCCTGGCAGTCCCACAGTGGGTGTGGAGCCACATCCCCTCCTGGCTGCCCTGAGCCGCCTCCTGCCCACCCATCCCTACACACCTCCCTCTGTTCCCGAGCACGTGGAGTCCTGGGACTCCTGCAAACACCTTACAGGAGGTGAGGGATCACACAATCCCCCAACAGCCCCCCTCTTACCTGCCTCCCTCCAGCCCCTCAGTGTTCATGCAAGAGATGACATGAAGAAATCAAAGATGCTCAAGCAGCTTTGGCTCCCTCCCAGCACCTCTGCAGCTCAAAGCTCCCAAATCAGAAGCTGGAAGAGCACTGGGCTCCCCAAAGTGTCAGCAATCTGCTCTCTGCCCATGCCGGCCGCATCAAAGGGGAACAGGCTTAAGGTGCAGCAAAAGGATGGGGGTTAATTACTGGGAAAACCTTTCTAACAGCAAGGCTTGTTGGGGCAGGCATGGGAGATGATCGCCATCCCTCCCACGTTGTGCTCTTCCCTCCAAGTGCAAAAGCCAAGCTGGCGGCAAGGACAAGGCATCGCTCACTCAGGGGCACAACTGAACAGCGTCAGCACTACCCAGGCACAAAGTCTGAGGTTTTCCAAGCTGAAAAGATTTAAGCATGACATGTATTTGGTATTTCAAGAAGACTTAAGGTTGGGCTAAGGTTGTACAGATGTACAGGCCTTTGACAAGTATAAATATCACTTTAAGAGTATGATTTAAAAAAAATCAATATAATTGCATTGCTATTGTCTTTCATATGGTCACATTTAGACAAGTATAAAGCAGCTTTATAGGGCTACAGATTGTTCTTCCCATATTGAACTGGCTATAGCAATACCTAAACCATCTTCATACAAATGAGTTTCTACAACTGCCACCGAATCACTGTCATTAAGTCAGCATAGCTGCGGTGTGTACACAAGCCCACTATCATACGTGCCTTTAAAAAACTCTGCCCAGCACACTGAACTCAGCTACACAGGCAGACTTTCCCCAAAATAATTCAGTGGTTTACTTCCACTGATTTCTGAGGGTTTGAATCCCTTGCTGCACACCTAGTAAAACTATTTAGGGATCTGAGACTGTTAAGTGATTTTTTTTTATCTGGGCCATAAGTACTTTTGAAAATCCCTCCACGTATGAACGATGGCTTTTAAAAAGAGGTCATGCAATCAAATTGCTTTGAACTCTAATAACATTTAAGCCTCTAAACTCGTTAGGCTTATTTTAAAATCCACCCATGAAGTTTAGATTATTTTAACCTAAGAAGAACTGGAAGTAAACTATTGAAAGCTGCACCCTTCCTAGGGCTACAGTATTGCGCATGTGTATTAGGAGGGGAAAGTAAAAGTAGCTATAAATAAAAAAGAAAGTGACCTATAAAGTTTGATTATTTTTTTTAAAGCAGAAAAATCTATGTTAACAATGAGAAACTAATTAGGCATAGTAAAATTCTTCTGGTTTCAATAATCAGATGTGCCATTAGGCACTGATGAAGCTTAGGCTTATATGCCATGCAACATTTAGATTTTAAAACATTTGTTTTAAAAGGAAAAAACATCCTTTATAAAGCATCCTATCAATGTCAAGTGCCAGATGCTGAAGTTGTTTACAGTGAGGGTGGTGAAACACTGGCACAGGTTGCCCAGAGAGGTGGTAGATGCTCCATGCCTGGAGATGGTCAGTGTCAGGCTGGATGGGGCTCTGAGCAACCTGGTCTAGTTGAGGATGCCCCTGCTCAGTGCAGGGGGTGGGACTGGACGACCTTTAGAGGTCCCTTCCAACCCAAACCATTCTGATGCCATGATCTGTGAGCAGACAGACACATCTACACCCCCCGTCTGAGGTATGCGCGGGCAGGCAGCGCATCTCGGGGGGTTTGCACAGCACCTCGCCCAGCCCTAGTGCACAGAAACCACCAAGAGCTCTGGCGCAGGGGCACTGAGCACAAGTATTGTCCCAGAAGTCTTCAAAACTCAGATTTTGTACACTGATGGTGACATGCTTTGGCACAGGCTTGTGCAGTCCAATTCAGAAAGGCAGCTGAACCTGAGACCTCCCTTTAGCCCACTGCAGCAGCAGCTTTCAGCCAAACCTGAACTGTGGGAAGGGTCTTTGCACTGTGTTTTAACTGGCCACACCTGGAAAATTTGAGAGAAATGGGTTTTTCTTTACCAGTGCAGTTTGGCAAGACAAAACCTGGTCCCTCTGCTGCTGTGATTCGCATCGCTGCAATTTCTGGAAGGGCAAGGACCGGGCTGCTGCACTCACGTTGTAGCTGGCGCTGATATTGTGCCGTGGGAAAGTTAATCAACTCCTAAGGAAATGCTGCCACCCAATAATTTACACAGTTAAAATGAATATAAACACCAGCGTATGATCAGCGTATGAGACTCCTCTATGTGGTATTCAGGGTGGTCTTTGGGGTGCAGCACTAAGAAGTTAAATTTCCAGCAATGATTTGGCCGTGCCTACCCTGCACTGAGTGATTTTGACTAACACGGATCCTTGGCCTCCTCGGTTCTCCCACATAGACACTAGCACACACAATGTTAGGTCTCCAGATTAGGAAAAGACAAAAATTTGCCCATTTTCTTAACCATTAAAAAAATTCTTGTTCGTATATAACAGTTTCTGGGTTTTCTCTCCTCCCTCCCCTTTGCTTGGTGATACTGTCATCCTTCTCCCTTTGGTGCTATTTCAGTATGAAACAGACTGATTTTAATTTAATTTAAGAATGAAAAAGCACACATTTAATAAAGTTTACGGGTACTGAGAGGCTGTGCTCCCTTTTTGCTGGCGGCAGCAACCTGGAAAGAGTGGGCAGGTTTATGAAAAAAACGGGAAAACACAGAATTACCCACTTGTGTCTGATATTAGTGTCCTAAACTTAACACGCTGCCCAGCAGCTGGGGGGGGCTCTGCCTGCTGTGAACTCCCCAGAAGTATCATTGGCATCATTTCCATAACCTCTTATCTTCCACTTCACGTTTCTCCAGCAAGCTTAATGTCATACTCCTTTCTTTGAATTGCAAAAAACCTTGAAAAGTCAAGTCTTCACGGCTCCCCCCACCATTCACCCCTTAGCTGCCACTGGCCATGCCACGTCCACAGCATTTCACCACCGCGTTTGACGAATTCCTGGTTTTCCCCCGACCTGGTGGGAGAGGAACAGACCCGGCTCACGGTGCATTGCATGAAACCTGATGTGGAAGCAATTCACCAAGAAATATATACAGCAGAGCAGCCCCGTATATCAGGTTTTCTGTGTGGTCAAGTAAAGTGATATTCTATTTACTTTTTTAGATGTATAAACAGATTAAGTCCCAGGGAAAATATGCTCCCAAACTTCATAATATTTTATTAAACCACTGAAGTTTAATTTAATCTTTTGGCTTCCACAGAAAAATTTTCCATTTCTTTTCTAAGCACCTTTGATTTTATTTTCTTTTAATTACTGTTATCCGGAGTTAACAATGTGGGTTTTGCGCTCCACCCAGCAAGGACTATCCAGATTAGAAGTGGAGAATTTTGCTGAAATACAGAAATATCTATGTGGTGGTAAGAAGTCAATGACGCCTGGGCGGAAAACTCTAGAGAAACCAGTGTGCAGAATGAATTCCCCTCCGCCAGGCAATAACAAGGCCGCATTCCTCAATTCATAGCATTTATTACCTAAGACATTGGCCAGCCATAGCTTTTGAACAAAATTATACCTCCTTCATCTTAGGCCTGTCCACACGGCTGCGCGGGGGCTGGCTCACTGCTCGATCTCACTCCATCCCGGAGGCAGCGCAGCTCACTGCTCCGTGGGGAAAGCTCTCATTAATTCAGGTCCGACGCTGCCCTCAGGCTCAGTACTGTGCTCTGTGAACGCAGCTTTGGATGCATCATCTATCTGGGTGTGAAGCTGCTAGCGAAGGCCAACACTGTGCTGAGCCCCGAGCACACTGCTTGGCCCGGGAGGTCCCGAATCTGATGCCCTATGGGTAGCCCAGCTCATGGTGAAAGCTACTGGGAGCCAAGCAGAGCTCTTCAAGAAAGACTCAGCACCTGCATCTCAGCATCATTAAGTAGGAATAATAATGGTAATCATCATCTCACAGTTCTTAAGACAAGTGTGTAACTTCTGGAGGCCAAATTCGCTGTGTCAGTGTTACCTGAGGTCCTCAGCGCAGCAGAGGAACTTCAGATGCAGCTTATCAACTAGAAGTACATCTCCCTTGCCAAATCTCTTTGCTATTTCCTCTCCTGCAACTTGGAACAGTCCTGGTAATGGAGAGCCCTTCTTCACAGACACACCAGCATCTGGCCTCGGCGCGTTCCTCCATTAGCGCTGGGGCAATGGTGATGTTGTAGACAGGATTAGACCTGCTTGGCCACAGTTTCTCCAACTCATTTCTTTTGTTCTTTCACCAACAGCTGGGATTTAGGGCATGTGAGCAACATCTAAAGGAAATGACTGAGAGGTATTGGCTGGGGAGCACTTACCTTCCCTTGTACAGGGCTTATGGAACAGAATCAATAGATTTTTCTATAGTGCTCACTGCTGGAGAGCCCCCCATGGCTGGGCACAGAAGAGATGGCAACAGAGTGAAAAAATTCTCTTGAGAAGGACAAGTTTAAGAGCACAGAGGAAAGTGGCCAAATGCATCGTATCGACAGGGCAAACAGAGTCACGAATCTCATCACCTGCCTCTGAGCAGGCCTGCAGCTGCACGCTGCCTCGTCTGCAGCTCCCTGGGGCTCTGCTGGTGCAAAACAGCCTCAGCAGTTCCCGGGACCCACAGCTTCAGGGCAGGAGGGCTCTGTGCTTTGAGCACAGGCTCCCCCTGCTATCGGGGCAGGCTCCAGCGAGGTGGAGGGCTGGGCAGGGCTGGTGGAGGCAGAGGAAAGCATCCAGCCGGGGTCCTCCAGGGACATTATCAGTTCAGCAGCATCACAGGGTTTGCTGGATTGCCAGGAGCCATTTCCTACTGTTCCTTTTTATCAGCTCTTCTGACCAAAAGAGCACATCTGCTAAGCCCAGACAGGGTCTGTTGTCCAAAGTGAAGCCACAGTCCAAGAACCCCAATTCAGGGGCACTTCCACAGACACATCTCTAGCCACCTGGCGTAGGAATTATAAAGAGATAAGCAACGGCATCACTGCACCATGATTTAAAAAAAAAACCCCAAACTTCACTGTGATTCCCTGTAACTCAAACCCAGTATTGGCCTGAGACCAAACTCCTCCATTTTCCACAATGAGAAGATTCAAGGTTAAATAAAGAAATTATTTGCATGTCTACTCATGTGAGTTGCTGGCAGGGCTGGGGCTCAGGACGTGGCCAGCTCTGCCCGCACAAATGGGATGTTGCCCCTGTATGTCTTGGGGAGCAAGAGGTGCCATACGAGTTCTCCCTGGTCTGCAGTTACCCCGGCTGGCACAAGCCATGTAGACACAAAGTCAGAGACTCTTGTTTCAACCACCCAAACTGCTCTCAGACCCAATGTGCCCCGGAGCCAGGGAGCTCATGGGGAGAATGTGGGGTTCATGGTGCAAGTTGGACCCTCGACATCGGCGCTCCGGAGGGAAATGCTGCAGAGAAGCGTGCTCAGACACCACCACTGCCCAGCCGGCCAAACTGGCCTGGGAGATTTATCCTGGTTTGACACCCCATATTTTGCCAGCTTTACTAAAGAGAAAATTGTCACATGCTTCTACTTTTTGAGGAGCTGAGCTGTCCTTTAGATAGCAGCTGTCAGCATAAATATACATGAGAAACAGGTTTTTAGTTACTGAAAAATGTCTAAAAATTGTAAACAATTCTCAAGTCACATGGGGATAAACAGTCAGAATTTCAATATTGTTTATAGCTTTTAAAAAACAACAGTTGTTTGAGTTCAGTCAAGCCAAGCAGTTTGGATAGATAATTTTTAAACATTTGGTTTCAATTCTCCCAAACGTTCAGTGAAGAAGCCCCATTCATGTTATACTTCGCTTACAATTCAAAATGATAAGTATTATGGACTAGAAAACCGGATGTTTCCATTTCAAAAAAGAAGTGGTCTTAGATACTGGACCATCGCAGAAGACCCTTTCAGAACAAGAAAAAACAAGAACACTCAGTCAAGAAGTTTATCCAGGCTGATCTTCTCCTGCTTGAAGCTTCAGTTTTGTTGAATTACTTATTTGCTTTGCTTAACAAACAAAAATACTGTCCAAAAAAAAATAATCCTGACAAGTACTGTTTGTCAGCCTGAGAGCAGAAACATTCCTCCTTGGCCCAGACCTTCCCTGTCAGCAGGCACTACAGCATCCCTCCCTGGCACCGGCCTCTGCTCCCTGCGCAGACGCTTTGCGACTGGGCAGAGTGGAAAACAGAGTTCTTTAATTTCCTCTTTGCATTAGAGTTCATTAGGAAAAATCCAGAGGCCCCTCACTGAGCAAACGGCTGCATTTGCATGTCTTCTGTGGATGTTTAAATTATATTTTCCTGTAGGGTTTTTTGTTTTTCCTTTCCTTGTGCCTTTCCTGCACCACTGACACTGGACTCCTTCTCTGCTCACAGTTAATTCCTGAAATAATTGTTTTCACTTCTGTCACTGTCTCAGCCGTATGGCTCACAGGAACATAATTTAGTATTTCTGTTGTTAGAAAATCATCTATTTAAGCCATTTCTTGGTATTAGTTATTACTCAGTCAAGTTACATGGCAGTATTCCCATTCCCAGGCTGGATAAGACATCTCGGAGGATGAAAGAAGGAGAAATTAGTTACTAACAAACTTCACTGGATGCATTTTGGATGCTTCATTGCCCCTCCTAAAATGCACCAGATCTGATGGTTTCTTGAACCAGTGTTTATTGTTAACACTTTGCAACCACCAAATTCTACTCTGTGATTGCATTAATGAAAATATTTGCAGATCTGGACTTTAAAAAATGTTGAAGTTGCCTCTGTAATTATTCCTAAGTACAGTCACCAAAGGCTGGGATAAATAATGCAAAAACCAAGAAGAGGAAGAGCACCAGTAAGAAACGCAAACACCAAACCTTGAAGCATCCGGATAGAGGTTTGCAACTGTCAGCCCCAAATCCACTCATGAAATCCATGGCTGTGTTTGCCTGGTGCAGAGGCTCGCTAGTACCGATGGTTTCATGAGAGCAGAATTCATAAACTGTGACCAAAATTGAAGTCAAGTTTTGTATGAGTCTGTCCTTGGCATCAAGTCCTTGCCTCTGAATGTACAAAGAAGGGATTCTGCATTTTTCTTCCTGAATGTCCCAAAAGACAACAAACCTGGGCACTTGCAGTCCTGCAAACCGCCCACCAGGCAGCAAGGGAGCCCAGTGACAGGCAGCCTCCTCCCTAACAGACTAACGAAGGTTCAATCAACACTGTTATGACCAGATCAGACTTTGGATAAGAAAATAAGAGTTAAACCCTTCTCCAAGCTTATGGCTCCTAGTAAGGTATCTGATTTTCAGCACAGAACAAGTGGGAAATAAATAATTCTTTGTTGCTATGTAGGGCATAAGTAAATACGGCCCAAAATGCCCAGTTATGGGTATGGGCTCTATGGGCTCAGGAAGCCAACCTGTCTATCCTTGAGCATGATGCCCAACTCTTGCCCTAAACGTGCTCTGGATCTGGAGCCTGCCTTGGCCTTTTCCTTCCTCTCCCAGAGGCTCTGTTTTCTCATTTGCCTCCCAGCAGCATCCTGCTTCCCTGCCTGAGCACTGGCTATCAGGAAGGTTTCTGCTTGTCTCCATCCCAAGGCCCTCACTAGCTTGTACTCACACCAGGAAAAACCACTGCAAGCGTTAGGCTGTGCAGCCCTTTGCCGATGCTGCCTGTTTCCAAACCAGAGCTGTGCTGCTCATGAAGAGCCGGACTGCAAATTCCTACCCCTTGCAAAGCTGTCTGCTGCCGAGGCCATCCGGGATGCAGATGGTAAAGCAAATTAATTGGCAGTCTGTGGGGCACCACTGATGAACAGCAAGGGAGGCCAATTCCCCCTTGCCTGGATCCATCCCATTCTCACCGGAGTGTGTTCCTTTATCTACCAGCTGCAGTTTTAGACTCTCAGGGAGAGGATGCAGAAGCAGGAGAAGGACAAGAATCAGTCATCCCCAGCCCATTCTGCCCGGGGGCAGCAGCACCAAGGCTGAACAAAGAGCTGAACAGAACAGACTACTGCCTGCTCTCCTACAAAGGACCTCAGGTTCTCACAGGCAACATACTACTCCAGAATATAGTAGTTGTTCTCTGATCCAGATTTCTTAGACAGACGCAGGCGTGCATTTGTTCACACACAGGGGTGTTCGTGTGTGAGACTGAAGCATTTTGAGCTTTGGCAAGCCCTCCATGCACATCAGTTACTGCTCTGAAAATCAGAGGAGGCAACAGAAAAAAAGGACTCCCAGATGTTGCACTCAACTTTCTATCAGGCTCTTTGCTACCTGTGTGGCCCTGGCAGAGCACTGGGGATTCTTGGATGTGAGCTCCCGTGCTCCTGCTGGATCCATCCCGAGATAGGGAGCTGGCTGGGGGTGGGAGAGGAGAAGCCAAGCTGCAGCTATTCCCTCCCTTCGCTTCCAACACGTGGGCTGAGCTCCAGTATCTCTGCTGCGAGAAGGAAAGAAGGTTTTTATTAATCAAATGAAATAAAGGTTGAAGGGATGAAAGGGAAAGTTCAAGGGAGCTGCAGGTGGGGAGACACTGAGTCACTGGAGTGCAGCAGCTGTTCCTGTAAGGCTCGCTCTTGCAGAAGTGTTATTTGTCCTTCTCATCCCTTCTCTTCTCCATCCCCAGCTTGGCCTTGGAGCAATGTGGCTTTTCCACTGCCTCCTTCCTCCCAGCCCCTCTCCCCCCATGCACACCCACAGCGTCTCTGGGCACTGGCAAGCACCAACCATGGCACTCAGTGCATTGCTTGCTCAGAGCTGCCCGCACACACTGCTCAGTAAGGAATCCCCTCAGTTTTGGGGATTTCCGTGCTCAACCCTTGGCCACCATCCTTTCCCATACCAACCACCCAAACCCAGAATTAAGCAAATGAATGAGCTTCAGAGCATAAGAATTACTCTCTGCCTCTGTAATCCCAGTTCCAATTTATCAGCATAAAAACTATCAGTTTCCTTTGGCTACTTCCCGTTGGAAACTCCTTTTCCAAGCTCTCCTTCCTCTCCAGCACCACCACACCCATCTCCAACCAGAAATGACACTAAGAACTCCTGCAGCCATCTGTACACAGAGGGTGTAACTCCATCCTCAGACTTAGAGGTGCACTGTGCACCATGGTCAAGTGGAAACAGACACTCAATCATCCTCCTTTTCCTTTTATACTACATCCCACAAGCACTGAAATGCAGCCAAGTTTAGGAGGTATTGGTAGTTTGGTGGACAGCAGATCTCTGTGAAGCGATATGCAAGCCAGCTCAGGAGGATATTGTATTCCAGGGCAACTGAAGCATATTTCTATTTTGACATCAAATTCTCTGCTACCTTTTGGCAGAAGGCTCACTATACATAAGGTCTTGTTTGAAGATTCATGCCCTTGGCATCCTTGCACTCAGGTGAGGTGCTGCAGAACTCCTTCAAGTCTGCAAGGCTTTGTATTTGTGCATCATCCACATCATCTCACATCAAGCACAGCAAGGTCCTGGTCACTTCTGACCCCCTCTCCATGCCATCAAGCAAGAGTTGAGCTAGTGCCGTGCAGCTGCTGGGTCCAGGCAGCCCTTTAGCAGTGACTGTAGCAGGTTCAAGCTGAAAGGTTCAGTCTCCAAAGAGCCAGGGGAGGCTGTGGATGGAGGTGGATGGGACTCAGAAGGCAGGGGAACCTCTCCTGCCAGGGCCCTGCACTGCACTTCCATGTTGAGTCCGTTGCAGTGGGAAATGACAGCTGATGAAAGCTGCTATCCACGGCCCTCTAAACAGTTTGTCACCCACTCCTCATCCCAGCCTCTCCACGAGATTCACTCTTGACTCGGGTCCAAGCCCAGAGACCAAAGCAGCTGGAGAACCCACAGCAGGCCCAGTGGCCGTACCGGGGCGGGGGGTTCCCGGCTGTGCATCACGGCCGCCTGTGGAAAACAGCCGCAGGCTGCATCCCGCCCCACTGCAGGGCCCAGGCCCAGGCCCAGCCTCTCCTTCCGTTCAGCCGATACTGTGTTTCACGTGAGACGCTAACAGTCACCACAGCCCCACTGGTGCATTTCTGTAGGTTTCTTTGGTATTCGAGTATCTCCCAGAATCACTCCAGATGTGTACACATCTGGGGACACACACACAGAGCGGGCACATTTACCACTCTCATGTTTATCTGCATCCAGCCCCTTTTGTCCTTCCAGGAGTGTCGTAACACTTCAAACCCTAGATGCCTTCTCCAAGCCCGGGGTTCCTACACATCTCCCCTTTTCTCAACTTTGCCAGCTCTAAAAGACTTGTGTCACTAGCTAGCAGTGGT